TTAGGCCAAATGACAACCAAAGAAAAAATTGTATATTCTTATATTTAGGAACTGCTTAGAAAATTTGCCTGAGTGGGTATGTGAAAGCCGAAAGCTAGAAGTTTTGGATATTGGCCACAATCAAATATGTGAACTTCCTGCCCGGTGAGTAGGACAGATCAAGTGAGAAAATCTCAGATTAGATAAGCAGCTTTAAAAATTGCTTATTCAAGTCTTTAGCTTGTTATTATGAACCCCTAAAAGAGTTTGTTTTAGAGCCTCACTTAATATCTTTTACCTCATCTGGTAAATTTTCTTCATGTTGTGAGGAGTGGAGTGATGCTTTGACTGTCAAACCAGAATTTTCAAAGCCATGCAGAGGGTGGTGCTTGTGGAGAATGTTTAAATAAGCCAAAAGAAATGTTTGAAGACTTAGCAAACAATATGATTGGTTTACCTCTGTTATCCTAATTCTTTCAGAATCTTCCATTTCTGTTTATTTAACATGTCTAACCTTACCCACAAATAATTTTTGGCTTTCCTCAAGCATAACTTTGAGGGAAAAAAAGATTATTAGGTCATTAAACATAGAAAGAGCAAATTAGATTTCTGTTTTTGTTGGTGTGTAATTTAGAGTCAAAGTCCAAGAACTTTTCTTTCCTTCTCTTGTCTCTCAATATGTGTTGTTGTTTTTATTTCTTAATTTTCACTTTAATGGCAAGATTTGTAAAACAGCCATGTGATTACATCTAGTGCCCACAGATGCAAATATCTTTGAGTTGACTAATTGTTGTACAAAATACTACTGGAATGTTAGTGACCAGTCACGCAATTAGTAACCAAAAGGTAGCCTATTCCGGTGCTGTCCTATTGAACTCTCCATGATAATTAAAATATTTTATGTCCATGCTGTCCAGTAGCCACATGTGACTGTTCAGCACTTGAAATGTGGGCTACTCCTAATTGAGAAGTGCTGAAGTGTAAAATACACACTGGATGCAAAATATCTCAATAATATTGTACATTAATTACATGTTAAAATAATATCTTGTATATATTGGGTCAAATAAAACATAAAAATTAATTTGTTTCTTTCTGCTTTTTTTAATGTGGCTATCAGAAATTAAATTGCGTATGTGGCTTGTATTATATTTCCATTGGATAACACTGTCTTAGAATATAGATCTCATAAAAGAAATCTTAATTACATTTTTAATCCCTGGAATACTCAGTTATAATTTAATTTTGTCCCTTAGCCATACATTATACCTGTAAATCCAATCTGTTTGAAAATGCTTTCTGCTTTAGAGTTTTATGTTAATTGAGCATTTAGTTGATCCTGTGCAGCTAATCACCATTATCAAGAGGACTTTGGTGATGTGCCTGTGGACAGAAGTGTGTGTGCATGAGACAGAGAGAAAGAGAGACCCTTTTAGAAGACAACAAAAAATCAAAACAGGCAACTACTAATGGGGAAAAAATAATTGTTGAAAAAAATCTTTCACTGTTATCTTTCCTTCTGTTTTCTCTCTTCTCTTCCCCACTCTCACTTCCCCCAGTCCAACAGATGGCACATTGGCGTCTAAGGCTTCTGTTTCACTGTAGGCTACAACAAAGATATTATATACATAAACCAACAATTAAATAAATACTTGATAACTGATATTTTATCCAGTTTCTCCAAAGTTAATTAATCTTCGATTTGCTTTGCCTTAGTACAGGCTTTTTTGGAATCCAAACAAATGCTCATTCAAAGCAAATCCCAGATGCTGCTGTCAAGAAATTTAAACAGTGTTTGTGTGTGTGTGTGTGTTTAACACATGGGACAAGAACAGTATGTATTGTGTTCTCATTTATCAAGTTGTTCAGTTGCAGACTTTCTATCAGCCCTACCACTGATCTGATACTTAGGCAAGACAGTCATTCATTAGAAGTTGATTTAATATTCAAGCTTTGTTTACCAAAGTAATGGTGTGAAAGGTTTGCCAGAACGAATGAACATTTAGAAGGAAATGTATTAAAAGGAAGAGAAGTTATTTTAATGCTCAGACAGTAAGTATCCAAAAGAATTGAACTATATCCAGTCATTATCATTTAATACTGTTATCATATCTACTTTTTTTATTTGGAAAAATCAAGATTAAGGTTTTTTTCATGTCTTTCAGTTACCCATTTATTTAAGGGTAAAATGTGTGTGTGTGAGTATATAATAAATAACCCCATTCTGCCCTCTAACAATCCTAAGTTATACCCCAAGCCCAGCAAGGCAGTCAAATGGGTGAACCAAATCCTGAATTATTGGGTTGAAGTGACCATTATAGAGATTGCCTCCTGTGATAACTGTGCTTGAATGACAGTCCTGGATAATCTGTCTTGTCCCATTGATATCTAAATCTTCAAAGTCAGGCTTGTCAGATATCTTTCCTGGTGGCCCATGGTATCACAGCACTGAAATAAGTAGGTGGCATCTTTGTGAACAGAGAGTATAGTTTTGATCTTTATAGTGAATGAAGTTATGCCATAATGTAGAGTGATTTTCACAACTTTGGAGTCAGTGAGGGAGTTCAGAATGGTGGAAACCAAGAGGTGGATGAGGAAGCCTCATTCCTTGACAGCAGTGCAAATGAATTCTCAGTCCAAAGTAATCCTGATGCACATTATAACCTCATTTTCCAAGCCCCCAGATTTCTGTGTTTTAACTTAACCAGGACCTGTTTTATTCTCTACAACTGATGAAGTCTGAATTGGTCATAAAGTGAGTTTACACTAGATTTACAAGCATTGGTTGCACTTGTCATAACCCTCAAAAACACAGCAAGGCCTCCAAAGAGCCCTTTAAGTCTAAAAAAAATAGAAGAGTGGAGTAACATTCTATTCTCTTTAGGAGGGAGTCTACTTTAGAATTAAACCAAAAAGAAAAATAAACAGACTTAGAGAAGTGAGCAAAGAGAAATAATGATTGTAAAATGAAACTGAGGAAAAATGTCACATTTCATCTGTTGGTGTTTGTAAAAGTTTAGTTGGATAGAAGAATCTTTATTTAGTGTTGATCTTACAGGTAAAAATTACTTGACTGTATTTGTTCAGAATCTGTTGTGGGTAAAACACCTGGTGTTCCAGGCTAACACAAGACACAAGCCCTACCTTGAGAAGCCTATATAATATAACCCTCGAAAGCTTACCTAGTAAAATTAGACAGTTCTCTTCAGTATCTTCTTCTGTGAAACTTTTTTCTCTTTACTGAGTAGAGTTTCATTGTTAAATTAGTGTAGTTTTTTCCTACCCTCTTGTACTTTTGTATAAAGTACGGAAAGTATTGGAACATAAAGAGCTCCAAGTTTGAGCTTATGTTAAAGTGAATTTGCAGTTGCTCTGAATGACTATGCTTTTTGGAGAGATAATTAAAGTATGCTTCTACTCCTCTTCATTTTTTATTCTTTATCCCAAATTAGCTGTAAGTAACTCTCCTTCTGTCTCGTCCCTTTCACGCAGATTATTTTGTAATAGCAGTCTCCGGAAACTCCTGGCAGGACACAACCTGCTCACAAGGCTGCCTGAGAGGCTGGAGAAGACCTCCGTGGAGGTCTTGGATGTGCAGCACAACCAGCTCCTGGAGCTGCCGCCAACCCTGCTGATGAGGGCCGACAGGTAAAGCGGCTTGTTTGTTTCGGTTATTCACCTGCTTGTTAGTACTCTTGCCTTACGTGATTGGATACCGTTTGTGTGGACTTTTGGATTATCTGTCTGCCCAAGACTTAGGAAGAAAATGGTTTTGTCAGCCACTTCTCTGTTCGATAGGGGGTGGAGGTGGGGGATATCCTGTAGATTTATCTTTAATTTTGCTGCTTTCTGGGGAGAAATGGGTTTAGTTGCTCATAAGCGTGTGTTGTGGGAGCGTAGGTATGAAACACGGATGAGAAATTTGTTACCTGGTCAAAATTTGGGTAGGATGCTCCAGTCTTAGATTAATTATCATGATTCTCTGTTTTTGCATTCTCTGTATTTGTGAGAATTTGCTTAGTTATCTTCTTTTTGTTTTTAACTAGTTATTCCTATCTTTACAACAGTTTTCCCCTGGCATTAAAATAATTTTCCTTTGTACAAACAAGTTTTTCTAAGTAACTTGTTTCATAAAGTAGTTAAAGAAATTGTTACTCTTTGAAGGGAAGGGTTGCCAGTTCAGAACTTTCTTCAAAGAAAGCTTTAAGTAACTGTGTTGACTTACTTTGGAACATCCTGTTTGCTATAGACCCCTTGTGCATTATACTAAACTGCTTATAGCCTAATGGCATGAATCATTTTGACCTCTTCTAATGTTTATTTTTAGTGAGTGACCATAGAGATGATACAAAAGATTTAGAGTGTACCTCATGATGAAGACCAAAAAGTTGCTTAATTTTGTGCTTCTCTTAGAGAAGGAAATACTGATGGGTCTTTTTGCCTTAAAAAATAAATTTGAGATACACTTCAGCATGTGATTTTTTTCTGTGGGTGAGATAGCTGTCTGAGAACTCTGGCCCTACACGGAACGAGATGCCTGACCGTGTGTCCCACACCACCTGTGCTTCCTCCTGTCATAATACTGTCACACACTGCATCACAATTTCTTGTTTGCTTGTCTATCCCCACTATTAGATTATGAATTCTGTGTCTCTAACAAATGTCTCTTAATGTGTCTGGAATAGAGGAAGATGCTCAACAAATACTTGTTTAATGAAAGAAGGAACATTTAAGGAATTTTAAATACTACCTGAATTCTTGGGCTTACATTTTCTTTCCTCTCCTTTTCCTTTTTTTTAAAAATGCTTTTTTATTAAGAGGTACATATAATGGAAAAAGGGTTCAACTCTTAAGCATGTTGCTCAGTGAAGTTTTTCACGTATGTAATACCCATGTGGCCGTTACTCAGGTCAGGGTGGAGAACATTTTTAGCATTCCTACTATTTCCTTTTGTTCTGTTTTCCTCATTTTAAAAAACATTTATTCTCTGTATTTATTTTAAGTTACAATGATTTCCTACTGGAATAATTATAGAGAAGTAACCGAATTGTGAGGAACTGGGACTGTTACAGTGTAGCTGACCAGTGCTGTAACATTCCCCTGGCAGGAAGAGCAGCGTTTCAAGATCATTTAAAGAATTGTTCTTGCTTGTGCATTCATATCAAAGTACAGTGTGCAGCCCATGGGTAGCTCCAGACATGGGCTCTCTCTTGTTAAGAGGACTATAGGATGTGATTTCGTCCCCTGTGGAGAATTCTAAGGTATGCTGAAACCCTGTGTTTTCTTTCATAAGGCTAACAAGGCAAAATTTGAGTGCAGTTTTATAATGAGAATCCACTTATTCTCCTGTGGATCTATATTGAATCTACAGAAACAGATGGATTCAGGTTTTAGGAGTCTTTGAGTGAGATAAAACCATTTCTGAATCTGGCCAAGTCCACTAAGTTCAGGAATAGTAGAGTAGATAAATAGTACTTGAACTCTCCAGTAGAAAATAATCATTCTTCATTTCTGAGGATTTAATTTTAAAGACAATTCTATATATTTTTCATCCTTTAGAGGCAGTCACTAGGCAGTCACTTTATGTCCTTGGTACCAGGGCAGATCTCACATGTCCGTGAGGGAGCTCGTAGGTATAGTCGAAGAGGCTGTGTTTTCATGTTCAGCCGGGGTTTTGAGTGGGGCAGCCGTGATTTAGATTGTTCCACAGGTAATTCTGTTGACCTCCAGGGTCAAGAACCACTGCATGAACTATTGACTTTGTGACCTCGTGCAGGTCATCACTCTGAATCTCGATTTTCCGTGTTGTGTAATAGTTCCCAGTGGAATCTGTAAGTTGGGAAAGGAAAGATGTGTAAACTGGAATATTTCTAGTAATGCAACATGGAAAAGTTAGGACACAAATCAGGCCACTAAAAAAGGACATTGCTATCATGAAGGACAGTGTAAGCTGAGCTAAGAGTTAAAACTAAAGGCTTGCAGGCAGAAATTCCCATTGTCTGAATGGATGGACCTATCCAGAGCCAACAGCATGTTGGAAAATAGGGACTGTGATGGGAGGAACAGCTGGCCTCTGTAGGCCTCAGGAGGAGGGCAGCTGTGCTAAACTGTATTTCTGGCACAGGGAAGGTCTGGAGTAAATGGTCCGGGGGAATTAGAAGAAGCAAGCATCCTGCTTTTATTTTGTGAGAGAAAAGCAAATGACCAAAAAAAGGCTGAAGTAAACTGTTTCAAGAAGTCATATTTCAGTGACTTTGTTTTCCAACCAACACAATAGCCATTTCTCCAGCACAGTGGAGCAACTGATATTAGTCATGACTCTTAAGAGGCTTGGTTCTCTCTGGCAAATAGGATTATGAAGGGGGCGGGGTAAGTCAGTTAGTTCTTTTGAATGACATGCTATTTCACTTGTTGGAAGGCAAACACAGAATACTTTATGAATTTTCCTCACCAAACTTTTACTGCTTCTTAAAGGATTAATACTTCTATTTAACCCCTTCTAAAACCTAAATAATGGAGGTTTTATCTACCTCAGTTAAAAAAATTTTTATTATGTTTTTTATTGAGGCATAATTTACATTGAGGAAAATGTAAAGATACTGTGTGTTTGGTGTGATGAGTTTTGAGGGAAGGAATTAACTGACAGGGTGGGAAAGGCTAATCCAAAGACCATGAAGTTTAAAATATTAAAGAGGGTTTTTTAGAAAAGAACCTTTGTGACAAGTTTCTTTGCTGTGGTTCAGTTGAGACTGGTTTGCATTTACATGGCTCAGGATGGCCTTCATCTCACTGGACTAGTAAGTCTAAGTCACATTCCTGGGTGCTTCAGGGGATTGAAAAGCGACTTATGTGGGTAGTACCTATCCAGGAGCTTGCAATCTAATGCAGAGTTTAAAGCAAGTGCACAATAAACCCTAGTCAAAGGAGGGCTTGAGAGGGCAAAAGAGAAGGAAAAATGATACATACGGTTGGTTGTAATTGAGGCAAACGTCTGAGGAACAGTACTCTGCTGTGCCTATACAGAGCTGGGGTTCAGCAGCAGCTTCAGGCAGTCAGGAAACTTTGCTTCAATTCTTTACCATAATACAAATCTTAATAGGAACTTTGTACAAATGTGTGCTTAATTTGTATTTTGCTGTAATTCTTTACTATAGTACAAATATTAAAACTATATAGATACTCCTTGTTTTGTTTTTGGTAATAATTATTGTTATCAGTTCTGTGTTTGGTCACGTAACTGAGTCTTCATAAGTTATAAGTGGTTCATAGTGTGTGCTTTAAGTAGAACTTGTCCTAGGAAGCTTCAAGAGACTGTCAGAAAAACATGCGTTATTGAACACAGAGCAAAAGACTGAACTTTAACTCTTTCTTGGAAGTATTCCTTCAACTCAGAATCTTGCCTGCTAAAACCATTGTCATGTTTTTAATTACATGATACTGTCTGTTAGAATGGTGCATATTAACCTGTCCCACCTGGCATTTGGTAACCAAATAAGAAAGGGGTATGTGTTTTAAATTAGATGACTTTTAGTAGTACCTTTATCTTCTGGAAACTTTAGATCAATTTTATTAAAAATTCTTATGACTTGAGTCAGCAATTTCAGTTTATGGGTTTACTCTCCATATTCATCTTTGAATTTGGCTTATTTCGACTTGCTTTGCACTGGCAGCTCAGAAGCCATAGACATGTGAAATATGATGGACCGTATGTTACTGAGAAGTTGAATGTGATTTCATAGCTTATGATTAGGGCAGGATTTGGTTCTGTGGGGTGAACTGGCAGATACTTGAATCTGGATCATACCAGCCTGGATTGCTCATCTTACCTTTTTGTGCTTAGAGTTGGGGATTCGCTGATGGAAAGAGAGTTTCAAATAATCAGTTTTCATCAACAGATGGTAGATATTCCCCATGGTCCACCAGGATGGGTGAGGTACTGCCCTCCTTCTGTTCTTCCTGAGACCTTGGTGGTGGCTGACTCTGTCCATTTCACATCTGCACATGCATTTGATGGCCAGAAAACTACTGGTAATGTCAGTCTAATTAAAAAGCCACAGCAGACCCTTTAAAAAGGAGAGTTGTAGACTGCTGTTGTGGGTGGACCTCAGGGTCTGTTGTTATCCCTGGCTAAGCAGTACAAGGTATTAGAGGGTGGGGGTAGGGGAAGTATATGTGCAAATGAAGAACATGGTAATTATTAAATACCCCCGACTATTAGTCACATTATAGACCATACGTTTTAGTGATTCAGATACAACATGTGTAAATACCAAGGGGACTAAAAAGGAATAGAAAATTGGGAAAGTGTGATCGATTGACCATGACAACTACTGCCTTTTGGCAGAGACAGTTATTTCTGGCATCTTGAAGAGCTAGGTTGCCTACACTATTTTTTTTTTTAATGAAGAGAGTTATTCTGTGAAGTTTGATATTTTGAGAGCCAGAGTGGAATAAAACTGTTTCTCAAAGCATGTCTCAGAATACCCTAGGTTACTTATTAAACATGCAGATTACTGGCCCTTATCTCAGTTCTAGTGACTCAGCTCGGCCAATCATCAGAATACTTATTTATATATATTTTTGAAGGCTTACCCTGACCTACTTAATATCTGGAAATGGAAGTTGAGAATCGTGCACCTTCTAATAGG